CCCTTTTTAATACTGCTTTACTCCATTATCCACGTGATATTTTTTCCATTCGGTGCATATTTGTTAACACCTTTAAGGCTATTTTTTAAACAAGATTAGTAATGATGACAGCTTTATGATGTAGGTATTTTATTTGACTCCTGCTTATCTTTGCTGCACCTGAATAAAAAGTTGTTTTATAGGTCAATCCCACCCTCCCCTTATTTGTGCCTCAATCACACCAGACTGCATAGGGTGCTTGCGGGTAGTCATGGCAGCAGCATTCATTCCGAAGATGAAGAAAGGATTGCTGTAAATCTTAGAATAAGTATTTTAAATTTTAAGCTAGTCACTGTTTAGTATTACCGCCTAACGAAATTACTTTAGCAAATAACAGGTCAACTCAAAAATGCAGTTCATGCCTGCCTTCCAATCAAATATTTTTGGCTTAAAAGGTTGAGTTCTAAACATAAACTCTCTTTGCTTCTCGGTATACAATATTCGTGGGAACATTTGATGGCATTCTAGCACCATGAAACGTTTCTGAAGATTAAAGAGGTCATAAAACCATGGTAAAATGTGTATTCCCAATGTTCAGAAAGACTAAGGGTGGCGGCTTCTGGCGTGGCCCCAAAGGCCATGATGCCCTGCGGAAACGCAAAGACGGAGCCTTAAGTGCTCGCGAAGCCAAAATGACGAGCTAAACAAGCAGTGAAAATACTAAGGACATATTTTTTGAAATGTGATGATTCCAACTCATTTTACGTGCATGATGGAAATTCACAAACCGCTCTTACGAGAATTTATGTAGGCTACTTGCAGATATCTGCTAAATTCAAGGGAACCTTCTCCGGATTTTCCCGGCACTTTATATCTGTGTAGCGTTCCGAGACTTTGGCAAATAAGTCGCAATAAAAATACGACATTGACAACCAAAAAAGTTTGGAGGTCACTAGCATAGCCTGAAGGCCGAGGCCTCCCCCAGAGCAGAGGAGCCGTCTGCAAGGAATCGAGTTCCCATGTTAGTGGTCACGCAGTCAAACAAAATACCAAATCGTTACGCTCATTTACGCTTAGTTATTGTTATGAATAACTTAATTTTCCTGCAAAACATTTCTCAAAGAAAATATACACTACCAATGCTTAATGAAAGTCAGTAAAACAATGATGGAAATCAATTTATAGGACAAATTTTAGGGTATGATTTATTATTCTTTGCATGAAGACTTTAAATTAGCCAGTACCGAGGAGAAGTTGCAACTACCTTTAATATTTAGACGCTTTCTTCTCGATTTACTGGCAGTCGATCGTTTTCCAGAGAGCTAGCAGCATAATAAATGTCCTCGAGTTTGATTATTTCGTCGAGGCTGGAGTAATATTTATATGCAAGAAGGTTCTGACGAACTCCGCCTGAAGCAAACTTTTTTTAAATCTTTGCAAAGTTTTTCAAGTTTTTCTGCACTTTAAGAAGTTCGGGAAAATTTATTTGCTAAGTTTTCGTTGATAAAAAATACGAGGTAGATGAACCCATTCTTGAATTTGAAATGTAATTTTGAGGCTGATGCTTGATAATTTTTCTGATATTCATTGAAGCATTCCTGGTTCATGAGGAGGCGTGAAATTCGTAAATCGTACGATCTTCTTCTAATCAGCTCCAAATAAGTACTTGAGAGATATCAAAAAGAAAATTTGTGGTAGTTTTTTTACCGTCAAAGCGTAAGCACTTCTAACCCACTTTAATTTTGCTTTCAACTAGTGATGTTGCAATTGTTTCTCTTTATCGACTAATGCTATATGTCCAGTGAGATTGGTTTGCTGCTTTTCAGACAAATACCGCACATTCTGTGTTAGGTAAGTGTGATTGGTGATATCAATGTTTTTTTTGATTGCTTTACTCTCTATTTACTCGATTGTTTGCCCCTTTTTTCTTCGCTGCCGTCTTCTTTATACATACTCAACTCATTGCGTGCTGCCTTAGCAAATTCTGTATGACGCTGTAGTGCCCCGAGACTTCCCTGAAGAGGAATTAAGTCTTAACACTGGCGCAGAATATATATTTTTGACATACAGAAGGGCTGGTGAGGGAATCACTGGCGTAGCCGGAGGTCAGGTCTCCCGGCGGTGGTACAAAGGCCGGGCCTTAAGGTGCCTCGAGGCCAAAACGAAGAGTTGAACAAATAATCAAAGTATAACGGTATGTTATATGCGCCAGCATTACAAGCTTAGTACTACGCACCTGCTTGAAATTTTGGATCCAATTCGCGTGGTCGCTTATTTGCAGATGAGAAATCCCGGTTTTCAGCGTAGTGCATACGCGAGTGCTATTTGTCATTGCCTCAGTTTCAACGAATTAGCCACAGTGGGCCCTCAAAAGGATGCTGTGGCCTTCTGACGGCACTTACATGCGTTAGTATACATCTAACTACCTAAGGCCTTATAAAGGGCTTGCGGAGCCGTAACATGTCCCGTTTTTCTTCGAAGTTTGGTAAACACCGGGTCATTGTTGATGAGAGCCCCTTTCAGTTCAGTCAGTTCACACGAAGCATTGTAAATAAAGAGTACTTCCTCAATAAGATGCAAGATATCGCTTATTTTGCCCTAAAACAGATCCATGTCCTCAAGTTTATATACATCCATATCACCGACATTTGTTTGAACGAGGTTAATATTGCACTAAAGACATATCTAACTGCGAAAGCGTTTCAACTGCCACGGACTTTGGTCACTATGATAGTTTAATGCGGTACCATCAGTGTGATTTTTGTTGTCTACCCACCGGTGTTTCCTCACATCCATATTATAACATCCCCGTGGAAGGTCAAGACATGGACATGGTTCCCATGCTTTTGTAGAAACCTCCTAAAATGTTAAACAAACGAATTTGAAGGCTGAACTAAGTAAGACATGGCTTATATGCCTAAAATAGGCGTAGTTCAGTAGTTTATATGCCCACCTAAAATGTGTAAATAGGCACAAAATCAATATTTAAAAGATTTAAAATAGCTCGATTCTGATTCTTCATAAAAGCACTACTAGTGCGTATACTTCGAGGTATTTAAAGTAAATCTTAAAATACACTTAACTGCAAGTGTTTGCGGTTTTTACGGACTATTCACTTCTTAATGAAAGTTTTGAGGCTTAAATTTTTTTGCTTTTTATAGCATAAGTACACAACAAGAGATTTTAAGTTTTTTTTCCACGTTCAAAAAGTTTCATATTCATGATAAACACTTTCAAAACATATCTGGCGTTGGCTCCATTATTAAATTTTAAAATGGTCGGTGCATCGCTTTGATTGGTTGCTTGGCTCGACTACTTCATCGCCTTATGACGTCTCCCGGTGGGAGTGGTGTCAAACCGCATAACTGCGTCTTAGGCGTTGAAGCTGCTCATAATAAATCGCTTTGTCTGTGATAACGAGCGGAGAAGTGGTCTTCAACATTAAGGAGTCAGTTTTAACCACGAACTCCATGTCCTGAATTCCTAGCAATGCAACGCGTATTGGAACTACCACTATGAAAAGAAGCCAAAAAACTGTCGCTCCACCCTCTCAAACAAACGTTTCCGACGGCTGTTTTGTCGCTAAACCCAACAACACAGAGGCCTGTTTCCCTTCCTGGTCTATAGTCTGTTATGTTAGGCCATATCGGCTCGTCCTCTGAAGCTCCAAATTCAAATGAGTCCATGAAAAAATCATCAGAGTCGCACTGCTGTACAAGTTTGCAGTACTCTCCACTCGTATCTGTCGACTCTGACCCCATTTGTAATGCAGTCTTTATGATACCAGTTGTACCCGCCTCCGGCGCGCATTGGTATTGTAGTACAAACCCTTCCGTGTTTGAGCCCTGCTGCTTTGACTATTTAGACGGAGTGGCTGGGTGCAGAGACGCTCCCTGACGCAACGACCCTTCTCTTGGTCAAACTATTGCTCTCAGTGACTTACGACTTAGGCCATGACAACTCACCCATCATCGGCTTCGCGGATCTAATTCCCCTATCTCCTCTCGTGGTCGTTACTGTCCACGAATGCAATGCCCCCCGAGACTCACCCAAATGAGGGGCGTCCTAATGTCACACATGGACCATGCTTTATCTCCGCTTGGCACGTGACCAGGCCCCATAACCGATGTGCGACGGTGGCCTTGGGTGGATGCTTGCTGCCCACGCGTCGTCTAAAGACCTCTGAGCAGCCACTAATGATCGTGGTGACAGCCATCCAAACTTAGCTGTTCAACCCATCAACTTCTGGCGAGATAATAGCCTAAGATGTGGCACAGGGGTGAGCTCGAGTCGATTATGGGACAGACGACAAGAGGCTCCCCTCTGCTGTGGTGACCATGACAACCCTAGTTTAAGCACCTCTTGATTGCCTGCCTGTGATCGCCCGAAATGGCATCAAGCCCTTGCGGCAAAAGTAAGCGGCACTCAGCCATTTGACATCCTGTGGGAGGAGGATAGCCGCGATCCGTTAAAATCAAAACGCACGCGCGAGACCAGCCAATCAGCCCCTAAGCTTGTCATCATGTCGATTCAGGTGACAAGGTGCAACCGGCCGGCGGCACCGACGCTTAACTTCCAACGATTCTCACTTCGGAGCTGCAATAAAGCACATTAAGCAACCAGACCCTGCACATAGCTACCAACTAGCAAACTCCCGGACGGTGTCGTGAGGGAGCAGTCACAATACGATTGGGAGGGGATAAGATGGCCGAAAAAAAGGAAAAAACATTTACAAACATAGCCATTGAGTAGGACAAACGCGGCCTTGAGAGGAGAAAGTGTGCAAAGAGGGGGAGGGAAGGTAAAATGATACAATAAAGGCTGGTGGAAGAGGATGGGTTGTACGGACGATGTTGCAGCAAAAAGATGAGAATGGTGACGACAACGCTTCATGATGTACGTGTACACACAAATAATTCAGTTGGCTTGTTTTTGTCGAAATGACTTTGAGGGGTAATGGCAAACTGGTTGCTGAATGAAGACAATGAAAAAGTGGTGCGGGAGGGTGTGCCTTTCCTTGCCTAGGTTGTCGCTGACGTGACGACAGTGTTGCCGTTGACAATGGCCACCTAGAAGCGAGACAAATCAATTGACGCCCAATTACTACCCAAGTCTCGAACAAAAGTCTGGCACCAGCGTCGTTTTGTGGCGGGAAAAACCGAAGCAGACAGATGAATCCACCTATCTAATAAATTGGAAGGTTACACAAACGCCCTCAATGGCTTTACACAAGAGAGTTCAATCTCGTGATTAGAAAAAAGGCATTAATGAGCACGGGTGTGCGCAAAGTTACTGGCACATGCACACAAGCAGAGGGAATGAAAATTGGATTAAGTTTTCCTTGCGAAACAGGTGCTGCTAAAGGGAGCGACCGGCTACTACTTGAAGCTTCCCTCTCAACAGAGACAAATTGCAGAATGAGGTGCATCAACTACCTGACCAGAGAAGGGGACTAAGAAGGTCTGCCCAGTGGCGGTGGAGGCCATGGTGAGGTGGGTGGGGGCACCGGCTGTAGCACCAGCAGGAGCGGCAGCGCCCGGCTTCAGTTCACCCCCTTCAAGGGTTGCCGCAACAACTTGCTTCACCTCGGTTCCCGCCGCTCCCTGCACCTCGATGGTCGTGGCTGGCACTGTGGAGGCGCCGTTCAAGGTCACTTGGCGTTGGGTCATCGCAGCTGCGGTGTTGAGCAGGTTGGGCGACGCTGTGACTATCACTGTACCGGTGTGGTGAGGGTGCTGTTGTTGCTGCTGCTGTTGTAGAGTGGCTGCCAGTTCAGCCGAGGAGTTAATAATACTTGAGTCGATCTTGATGGCCTACGTTTGCATAAACACAAAATTTGGATATCTGGTTTAAAGGCCATTCCCTTGCTATCATTGCTTTTTTGTACTTGACTCATGGCTTCCAGACGAATAAAAGCACTGTCGTTTTTCCAATTTAAAACTATTGCTCTTATGTTAGTTACTTTGCGCATTCAGTATGTAAAAGCAGAGCAGGACGATACGCAAGAAGTGATGCAAGTACCCGAATATGTATTTAGCTACCAAAGCTTTTACTGTAACTACTCCAATCCCATCGAAATATGAAGAACGGTCAGGAAGATGATTCCGAGAGGGAAAACAACTTACTCAAAGACTTACGGAACTTTTACTACTGAAACTAGTTTACCACGAATGCACACACTCCTCTCAGACATGGACAAAAATTATCTTACACTCAACGACTCTATCCACACTAAATCATTAGAGCACTTTAGTCGAACGAGCACCACAAACCTATTCCACTAGCTGAGTTTACGCGTTACTACTTCAGTAAGAGGCGTGCAAATTTGAATCGTCTTCAATTCGTAAACGCTACTTCGAGCACCATGAAGAACAACCAAAAGAGTTACTAGACAAGATGCCCTAGAACCGTTATCAGTATGAGCTTACGTCCCGATATTTCACCAGGAAAGTCTTCAATGGTTCGACATAGTTCTCGAAGCCCAAAGCATTCATGGCCCAAAGGAGATCCTCCCCGTTGATGGTTTTTCGCTTCTCATTCTGGCAGCGCTCAGCAGCTCTAAGAAGATGCAAGGTACGAAGTTGGAACTTACTCGCTCGTAATGAAGCTAATGAATTCTGATACACACTCCTGAACACACTCCTTCGCATCCTTAGCTACCTTCCCATTCGAAGGAATTGCCCTTTTCATTATTTTGGAAACATTTGCAATCGGCAAGAAACGATCTTGTTCGCGAAGAGGCGACCTCTGTTCAATGTCTGCGGCCGAATAATCCGCATCAGTGTCAGCTAGTGAACTGTCGATGGTGCCATAATAGCCGGCATCTTGATAGGCCGACTCATCACCCTGGTTATCAGGAATATTGTTCATTTTTTCTGAAGGAAAGAAGCAAACGCATACCCTTCAGGAAAAACGAGCACAGAACCGTTGCAAAAGACGCCAGAAGACATGGAAATGATTTCAACTGAAGCGAAACGATGAAAACAGCAAGGGACACTGCAAAATCTAATCAGCAAGAAATGCAACACACTGAATCACAAATGAAATATCACGTAAAGATCCTTAGTGAGCACACACAGAGAACAGTTAGAGGGAATGTATGCCCCAGACTTGAAAACTACTGAAGCTCGCATTTACATACCCTCATCCATTTAATATGCTAAAATATTACTGAAACAGAAA